TTAGGAAATAAGTTGTTAAAAAACTCCCATATAAAATATATATCTTTCATTTTTATCACACACTGATAAAAATTTGTTAACAAATTTAACTTCAGTCACAAGCTTAAACCTTTAGCAACCATCGGTCGTTAACAGAAGTTCATTTTTTTACCTCGAAACAAAGTTATTGAAGAAATCGCAAGGCAACTTTTGCACTTTTTGTAAACGCCACCTTAACGTATAGAGTGGGTTTTGCCCACTGTTCCAATTTTTCAAACGGGTCAAAGCAATATCAGTGAATCATAACAATAAAATTACTCTTCTACGTAATGAAAAGCCATTCCGAACCTGCCGAGTGACGTATGAAATGATGAATGTACCTATACCAAGAACGAATTTTACCAGGAATTTTATGAACTGACGCTAATTCTCAGTAAGTATCTACTTTGGTAAACCCGCCCCGCAGAAGAAACTAAAAAGACTTACCATTCTATACTTCTGTATCCCTTCGCACAGCAATGAAGCCCTTTAAATTGTCCAAGTATGGCATATTCTGATTTACTAGGTTCCTTAGTAAATCCCATTATGTTTCCAATCCCGATTAATTTATTGGTGGAACAATAATCTTCAATCGCATAACAGCTATTACTAATAATAACTGTTAAAAACCATAGTAAGTAAACCGCCATTTGTTTTTGTTTTCAAAAACTTCTGTCACATTTTTATCTATGACCTGTACTCGCGACAAACACCAAAGAAACAATGACCGAGCCGTATAGCCGGTAAAACCACAAAGTTTATGAATGCCGCATTAAGGAATCGTGTCAAATCGGAAAACACCTGAAACGTTTCGCTTATGTTCGAGGTTAGCAATTGTAACATAAAAAAAAATAAAACTTAGACTTCTTTTTTTTAACTGTAAGTAGCCTTATCATGAATTTAATTCACTAATGTTTTTTTCAATTTTACTGTGGGCGATAAATTTTGGAAGATATCGGCCGTCTTGTTTCCATTTTTATTGGAGATGATGCGATCCGTTTAATTTGTATTTTGATTGTTTAATTAACGGAAAAACAAAACAAAAACTCACTGTTAAAGTCTTGTAGAGTCAAGCAGAAGTAATTAAATATTGGCAGTGGCAGAGCTTCGCACATTTATTTCCCAACAGAGGGAGTTTTTTGTTACAACTGATGAATTAAATTTACGGTGGAATAAGAAATCCACGTTGAAGACACACCAACGGACACCTGAGGTCACTCAAGATTCGAAACGGTTCGGCCGCCATGGCCCTAAACGTTTTCGAGCACTTATTCCTAAATAACTCGGGAACCCGATAACGGATCGCGCTCGTTCGACCGCCGTTGGATAGGGGAATAACGGGGCCGCACGGGGATAGTTATTTCGTTTGGAACGGACCAGAAATAACCTCGGAAATAAATTTCAAAAACGATCAAATACGGACAGAAACACCCAAGTTCGGCTGGGTCGCGGTAGGTTACGACAGCGAGTTAATCGATCGTCAATCGTAGGGTAGAACACGAAAGCCACGTTCAAGACGCACCTACGGACCCCTCGGGTCACTCAAGATTCGAAACGGTAAGGCCGCCAGAGCCCAAAACGTTTTCGAGCACTTATTCCTAAATAACTCGGGAACCCGATAACGGATCACGCTCGTTCGACCGACGTTCGATAGGTGAATAACGGGGCCGCACGGCGCCGTTTACGGTTTTTCAATCGGTTCACAAACAACGTGGGAATTACAGTTCAAAGTCGATCAAAAGTGGAAAAAAGCAACCAAATTTGTCCAGGGTGCGTTAGGTTAACACTAGCGAGTTAATAGATTATCAATTTTAGGGTGGAATACGAAAGTCACATTCGGGGCGCGTCTACGGACCCTTTGGGTCATTCGAGATTCGAAACGGTTAGGCGGCCAGGGCCCGAAACGTCACCGGGCACCTATTCCCCAACAACTTCGGAACCCGATAACGGATCGGGCCCAATCCGTCACCGTTCGATTGGGGAATCACGGGGCCACATGGCGCAGCATACGGTTTTACAATCGGTCCATAGATAACGTCGGAATTACAGTTCAAAAACGAGCAACTTTTGTCAAAAATTTTGACAATTTTTTTCTCGTAGGCCCTTCGGGCCGGAGAGGAGCGGATCGCATATTTATGACGTCCGCGGCAAGGGTAACGATTGATAAAATTTTGAAAAAAATCGAAGACCTAAAATTTTTTCCAGTCTCGTCAAAGGGGGGACCAAGGGAAAACGAAAAAAAAACTTTTTTATTTGCGAACCGATTTTCGATTTCCAAACGTCGATCGATAGATCTCGTCGAAAGAGTCCCCGACGACGCTTAAAACATTCAGGGTCATATATAAATAAGAATTTTACGGCTTGGGTTAGGATCACCGAAAAAAAAAAAATTAATTTTTCGTAAACGGCGCGTCCTATCAAAAAACGGTAGGTTAGGTTAGGTTGTATGCGGAAAAGCAATCAGGTGCTACGAGGCTCTTAAAAAGATACTGCCCAACACGGGAGGCGCTCGTGCAACAAAGAGAAAGGTGCTGGCGGCGGCTGTCATGTCAATCGTGCTGTACGGCTCCGAAGTTTATGTCCATGAACTTGGCAGGCCTACTACAGCAGACCATGGTTCTGTTTACTCATATCGTTAGTGTTCCGTTAGTGCAGGTTAGTGCCGCTGAAGAAATCGTTAGTGCACAAAAGGAAACTTACTATTTTCAAAAAATATTTGTAGGTTTTCTAACTTCATGCCAGCAAACCCATTTAAGAAAATCGATGCAATCTCTACACTAGTTAAACTAGCAGCGTTAGTGCTCGTTAGTGCCGCCAATATAAACGTTAGTGCTCAAAGTGTAACAGCTCAAAACGTTGTAAAAAGGGGTCTGCTAACTTCATGCAACAGACCCGCATTTGTCAAATTGGCCCTGTCCTAATGCAAATTTGAAGCAGCTCGTTAGTGGTCGTTAGTGCTTCACATGGGAACGTTAGTGCTGCAAGGGCGCCGCACCAAAAAGGTACCAAACCACCTCAAAATTAAACTTGACTTATTGGGACCTGCCAACTTCACGCCGTTTGATTTTCTACTTTAATCGACCGGTAAGTATTAGTGCTCGTTAGTGCCGCCAATATAAACGTTAGTGCTCAAAGTGTAACAGCTCAAAACGTTTTAAAAAGGGTCTGCTAATTTCATGCAGCAGACGCACATTTGTCAAATTGGCCCTGTCCTAATGCGAATTTGAAGCGGCTCGTTAGTGCTTCACATTCGAACGTTAGTGCTGCAAGGGATCCGCATCAAAAAGGTACCAAATCACCTCAAAATTAAACGTGGCTTATTGGGACCTGCCAACTTCACGCCGGTAGACCAACGAACGAAATCTGTTTGATTTTCTACTTTAATCGATCTATCAGTATTAGTGATCGTTAGTGTCGCAAAAAAAACGCTCGAAGCGCAAGAGCTCAAGCGTGAAACTTTGGGTTTGCTAAATTCATGTAGCAAGCCCACATTTATTAAAGTAGTCCTGCCTTAATGCGAATCTGAAGCTCCTTATTAGTGCTTGTTAGTGCTTTTAATGGTTCCGTGTCGAAAAACTACCAAAGTATCTTAAAAATTAACTATAACTTGGAACTTAAACAAGTTGGACCAGATCACGCTGAGGGAGGCTCTCATACAGGGGAAAAATGAGACGGATCAACAGTGGAACGCGGAGAGTATTGGAAAGTTACTCCATAAGATCTGCGATGAATCGATGCCAAAGCGCCGGCCGGTCAAACGGCGAGCTGTGTTCTGGTGGACAGAAGAAATTGCTCATCAGAGGAGGCAGTGCAACGCGAGGAGGAGGAGCCACCAGAGAGCGGTTAGAGCAGGACGAGCTGCAGAGACAGAGAAGGAGGACTGGCAGAAGACACGCAAGGAATTGCGAGGCATGATTAAGGACAGTAAGAAACGATGTTGGAAATTACTTTGTGACGACCTTGATAACGACGTTTGGGGGAGGGGTTATCAGATCGTAACAAAAAAAGTGCAAAGAAAAACCGCCCAGGTAGGATGGACCGACGAAGCATTTGTGGAAACAGTGGATTGCCTGTTCCCGACACCCCCCGATCTACGACAAGACGTGGACGCGGCGGAGTCGGACGCAGAGGAGTGGGTAATCTCGGATGACGAAGTAGTGGAAGCGGCGAAAACATTACCGAATGACAAAGCGCCAGGGCCGGATGGGGTACCCGCGAGGGTGGTGAAGGAGGCGGCGACCATAATCCCCGAGGCTTGGACCATGGTGTTGAACGAGGCGATTAAAACGGGTATATACCCCAAGATATGGAAGCAGAGCAGGCTCGTGCTGATACCTAAAAGCGGAGGGGGACACAGGCCGATATGTCTCACTGACTTTGCGGGGAAAATCGTCGAGAAGGTGCTCAAAAGGAGGTTGGAGAAGGTTGTGGAGTCTAGGCTTAGCCCGGCTCAGTATGGCTTTAGGAAGGGGAGGTCCACGATGGATGCCCTCAGAGCTATAGTGGAACAGGTGGTCCTAGCAAACGAGGGGAGTTGGAGGACGAGGGAGGTTTGCCTTGCGGCGTCCCTGGACGTGAAGAATGCCTTCAATTCAGCATCAAGGGAAGCGATTATGGAAGCTTTGGAAAACTTTGGTGTGCCGAGAAGGATCGTACGGTTGCTCAGGAGTTATTTATCGGACAGGGGCGTCACGGCAACGAAACCGTCAGGGGAAAGTTACGCAATTGTTAACAGTGCTGGAGTGCCACAGGGTTCGGTGCTAGGCCCCCTGCTGTGGACACTAATGTATGATGGAGTGCTGACAGTGCAGCTACCGACGGGAGTGAGTATCGTGGGGTTTGCCGACGATCTCACGGTGATAGTGCGAGATAGGGAGCGAGGGTGGGCGGTGTCTAAGCTAGAGGACACGATTAGGGTGGTAAGTGCGTGGTTAGAAAGAAGAAGGCTGGAATTGGTACCCAGGAAGACGAAGATCGCCCTAATGACAGGGAAGAGACGGATTCCAGAGCTAGTGGTGGAGGTGAAGGGACAGAGGCTGGCAACGGAGGCGAGAATTAAGATTCTAGGTGTGTGGATAGATAAGAACTTATCGTTTATCCCACACGTAGAGGAGGTGTGCGGGAAGGCTACGAGGAGCATGGTGGCTCTCGGCAAGATAATGTCTAACATAGGAGGGGCAAGGGCCAGCAAGAGGAAGGTGATGGCGTCTGCCGCCATATCCATACTGGGCTATGCGGTAGAGGTTTGGCAGCCGGCACTGAGGTGGGGAACCGCTCGGACGAGGTTAGATCGGGTGCTACGGTTGGCGGCGATTCGGGTGGCGAGCGCATATAGAACGGTGCCTACGCAAGACATCATGGTAGTGGCTGGGATTCCCCCCGCGGAAGTACTCTTTAACGGCAGAGCGAACGGGTGGAGCGAGGCGAGGAGAACGGAGGAGTGGCAGTCACGTTGGCTGACGAGAGTGTCATGGACGAAGACACTGATCCCGGACCTGACAGAATGGAAGGATAGAAGCCACGGGGAGGTGGATTACCACCTCACGCAGCTGTTAACGGGGCACGGCGAAAACGGGGTGTTCCTTGCCAAGATCGGCAAGAGAGTGGACGAAAGGTGCCGAGATTGCGGACAGCGAGACCATCAGGGGCACGCAGCGTTTGAGTGTCAGAGATGGGCGGCGGAGAGGGCGGTGATGGAAACCGAGGTGGGAGTGCGACTAGGGCCACACAACCTAATAAGCACGATGCTGCGAGACGAGGCGAGTTGGGGCGCGATAGCGCGGTACTGGCGGGTAGTGTGTAGTGCGAGAGAGAGGGACTCGTGGAGTAGGACATAGTGCGGGGAGAGTGACACATAAGTGTGAAAGGCAAAGACACAAGGCTTAAATCTAGGTGGCGAACAACGGCCACCGGACCATCCTCGGCCGCGAAGAATGCCAACAGGCGATACCCGGCCGAGCCACCAGGTCATAGAGAGAGGAAAGGGTTTTAGTGGGTAAACCTTCCTAGATGGAAGGGAGTCCTACACACCCCCCGCTATAGAGCCAAGCGGGGAAGCCTATAAAAGGTTTCCCGAACCTCAATAAAAAAAAAAAAAAAAAAAGGTTAGGTTAGGTTAGGTTAGGTTAGGTTAGGTTAGGTTAGGTTAGGTTAGGTTAGGTTAGGTTAGGTTAGGTTAGGTTAGGTTAGGTTAGGTTAGGTTAGGTTAGGTTAGGTTAGGTTAGGTTAAGTTAGGTTAGGTTAGGTTAGGTTAGGTTAGGTTAGGTTAGGTTAGGTTAGGTTAGGTTAGGTTAGGTTAGGTTAGGTTAGGTTAGGCTAGGTTAGGTTAGGTTAGGTTAGGTTAGGTTAGGTTAGGTTAGGTTAGGTTAGGTTAGGTTAGGTTAGGTTAGGTTAGGTTAGCTTAGGTTAGGTTAGGTTAGGTTAGGTTAGGTTAGGTTAGGTTAGGTTAGGTTAGGTTAGGTTAGGTTAGGTTAGGTTAGGTTAGGTTAGGATAGGTTAGGTTA